GGAAATGGCAAGCCCCAAATCACGAAAGGCTGGGCAGCGAGCATTTCCGACCCTACGACAGGTTTGTCATGCTGTCGCCAGGGGTACCCTAAGGACATCGTAGGTATCATCAATGAATCCTGTCTAGTTAGGCGGAACCTCACACAGGTCTTTTCAAGTGGTTGTCCAAAAATGGTCCCTTCAGATAGGCTTGTTTGCTCTTACAAGTTCCTTGAACTTCTGGGGCCAACCTTGCGTACTATGTCTGAGCTGCGCGCCAGCCCCGCCTCTTCTCTGGGGTTGGTTGCAGCAACTGATGAAGCGGATACTTGCATTTGCGCGTAGCCGCAGTAGTGAGAGGCAGTCTATCTGGAACCTGGGATTTGTCAAGTGGACTTTCGTCTGAGAGTTGGGTTCTCCGTGATTCCCAAGAAGCCTAACAACCTCATGTGAGACACCTTCTCAAAACACCCTGAACTCTAATCTGCTTCAGAGGATGCTCGCTTACTCAGCCCCCGGGCCCCTTGATCTCCAGCTTCCTAAACCCCAAACCTCCAATATTTTATTAGGTTCCATTTTACGTCCCAAAGAAGTTAACAGTATCCATGTCCTTTTCCATTCCCCGACTCCCAACTGAGCACGGGTAAAATTGAGGAAGTTGGGCTCTTTTTCGGTTCGCAGCGTTTGGCCTCCTCCCGTCCACGGCAGCCTCAGAGCTCGAAGGCCTTGCCACGAAGATGTGACCCAGCTGGCATTTTGGTGGGGGGGGGGGGTGCTGCAGCATGCAAGTGTAGATTTATTGAGGGTTTTGTATCGCTTGTATGCATTGACCGTACTAAGAATTCTAGCCAAGTCTTCTTACTTGTATACACTGATTGCGCTATATTGTGCAGACCTCCTAGTAGTGATAGACTGTTGGTACTTGCGTTGAAGCGCTCGATTTTGCATCAACTAGTGCTGAGAAGCCCTGCTTTGTTCTCTAGATCTGAGCAACCTCAAGCCCCTCCCAACACCGGAAAAATGCTCTGGTAGTTTCATATTATCTGCTTTTTCAAAAGGCCCTTCTTGGAAGCCCTGCCAACCAGTGTGTTAAAAGTGGCATGGAGAGAGGGCTTTCACCTGCACATCCTCAGGGCTAGGTCATTTGAGCTTGAGTCTAAAGTCTAAACTCCGTAAAGGGGGTTTTATATGGGAGTATGATAGAGCTTATTGCGGGGATACTAGGAGTTTGGGTTATAGCTCATTGTGAAGCGAATTCAAGTTAGGTGCTAGGCACGTTGCAGCAAGATTCTGAGGCGCATCTTCGCTGTTTTCGCATTGGCCCTGATCGCCAGTGGCTCGCCCCTGATGAGCCCGGGCCTTGGACGCTTTTGGAGATACATCCTCGCCAGGCGAGCTGCGAGCAGCACTGTTCTTTTCAAAGCGTGCTTGCATTGAATATTTATGGAGAAGAGAAAGCCAGCAAGTGCTAGGATTCAGGGCCAGATGGGTTTTAACATTGAAGCTGACGTAAGTCTGGCTGCCACGCGGAGACTCATGTTCCTAGAAGTGCCTTCGTCAAGGAGCCGCACACATGAGCAGAGTACCATTTTGTAGCTGCTAGGACTTGTACTCGTTCCGGCCAGAGAATGGCTGCATCAGCTGCCCAGAAGTAGCAGCCTCTGACACACTTTGTGGTTTGCCAGCTTTCTTTGCATAATTTCAGTGCAGCATGCCCAGAGGCCCGTTGATCCCCCAGACGCCGGACTTGACGCTGCCCTCTGCTCTGTGCTCACCCTGCGTCCAGCACCGCAGCCTCATTTAATGTAGGGGTTGCAACGGATAGAGGGCCCAAATATAGACCCCAAGATGCTACCACCCTTTTCATAATATGGATTCCCAAAAAAAGGGCTTCCAAGTTTTGTAAACGCCGGTGGGTGTAACCAAGATCCGTTCGAACCTAGGTATCAATATCTACGGCGCTCTTCATGGGGATTCGGGACCCTGCGACTATAATCTCCCATGGCCGCAGAGCCTCCCAAAGTGTGCAAGGTTGTTCCTTTCCCAGGAAACATCAATGCTTTTATTTACATTAGATTGACAGTTTGCAGGCAGACGTCCTTAACCCGAAACCCTAAATGCCAGTGGCATCGCCACAGAATCATATCGCTGTTTTGCTCCATCTCGGTAGATCTCGAGATAGGGCATGACCCAGCGCAGACTCCTAGTGGGGAGGCTTCTGAAAGAGAATTTGCGAGACATTGCTGATCTTCTTTGTGCTTTTCATGTGATACACTGCACACGATCAGACCCGGTAAGGACGAGCCAAGTCATTCAAAGCTGCAGTCACCACATGATGCACATGATGCACATGATTGCTGCATGATCCACATGATTGCTGCCTAGCACAGGCAGCGAACGTTGATCCATGAGACAGTTTTTAAAGAGATACAGGTAAGCCCCGAAAAGCAATGCCCCTTCATTGAGTTGCCAGAAGCTTTTGGAGCGGTTTACTGATTACGAATCTGTTGTTTCTTCCAGTTCTTGTTCATCCTTGTTAGATAATGTGACCATGACATACCTTAGATCCTTGAACACGAACACTAGACGTATGCTCTTGGGCCCTGAAGCCTAAGCCCTCTGTCGTCAAAAGTTGTACTGCCACGCCATGCAAGTGGAAGATTAATCCGTTAGACACTCAGCAGTGAGGTTGGGCTCCCAAGGGATCAACATGCATCTGGGTGGCAGTGAGTCCAGGGGCAGTGCCGTTCCTGCTTCAGAGGTGCTATGACCTTTTAGATGAGCAGGAGCTTCCACGAGCTGTTTATGAGTGGCTTGAGGCAGCTGGCTTCAATTTTCTGAAGGTTGGTTCAGCGCGTGGAGCAACAGATTCATGTCATCTTCTACATGCCCTGCGACGGCTCAAGCGGATCCGTTGGCTTCCTTACCTAAGAGCCTCTGAGATCCAACGAGAAGCAGGGTGTAACATAGTATAGTATACGATAGTATATATTATACGGTATAGTATAATATATTCCATTACTATTATAGTATAATATAGTAAACCATGCTCCTCCCAACCCGAGGCTGCTCAACTACCTCCTGCAGCTTGGCTGCAGACTTCCGAGCCACAAGCACCTGTGGGCTGAAACGTCTCAGGTATGTTTCAAGCCTTGCAAATCGTTTCCGGAAGTTTCAACTGCGACGTGATTCGGAAACCCTTTCCTTGCAAGCAGGTGTCTTTACTTTTTGAAAGCATTACAGGAAAGGAGTCTCCATAGGCTGCTTAGACGGCGGCCATGATTCTCGGAGCTTGGCTAGAACCTTCAAGCCTTGTGTCGTGCAGTGGAAACGTTAGCCCAACCAAACGGGCTATAGTCCAAACTCCTAGTATCACCCTTAAGAACCCCTATAACACTCCCGTAACCCCCCCTAAAGGGGTTAGGGTTTAGAGTTTAGGCTTTATGGCTCATTCTCTGAATCCAATCTCCCCGGCCTATGAGGAATGCAGGCGTAGTGACGAGCTGCTCCAAGCTGTGCAGCCACCTGCCTGGCAAGGCAGAGCAGACGGCGTGGGGCTCAGCTGTAGCAGGCCCTGGGGGTAGCAGTAAGTATTCATTAGGACCCCCCACCCTGTAATAGTGAATTACCTGTGAGGGTTTATATTGGGGTTACTGTAATACATTGGAGTCATATAGGGATAATGGGAACGAACATGGAAACTACTATTCAGGGTATAGGTGGCTTTCTAGGATGGACCCAGGATTTCTTGCCTTAAGGTCTGAGGCACTGGATGCGAATATGAGATTCCTGGTGAAAGTCTAAATCTGTGGGGTGGGGGTTCCCTTCGGCCACTTGACGCACCCCCCTAAACCCTAAACCCTAACCGGCCGCTTTAGGTTGAAACTGACAAGCTTGTGAAGCCACCCAAATCCAGGCCTGCAACCTCGCCTGCGACTTGGCTGGGATCAAGGTGCGGTCGGTGAAATCCTGCTGCTTCATGTTTCAAAGAGTACCTAGATGTGGACCTTCCGTGTAGAACCCAGCAAGTCACCGGTTGCAATGGGTCGCCCCTGGATGATGCTTCGAAAGGGAGGGCTCTCTGATATCTCTGCATGGGTCTCTTCAAAGGATGCATGCTTTCAAAATGATCCACAGCACTGGAGTTACTACTAGAGCAGATTTTGGGGTCCTTGTTGTACCCCAGTCAGTACCTTCAGATGTGTTCCTGCTAGCCATGTGTTGGACCCCGAAGCAAGAACCTTCCATTTCGTGACCTCGATGGCCAGGAATTCGTGCACATCCTCAACCACACGGACTTGGATCCGATCTACCTGTGCGAGGTGCTTGTGTCGTAGGCTTTAGGCAGCATGGCAGCAAAATATGACATCTTTGCTGCTGGGTGAAATATGCAGAGTGGCAGCAGCCAAAGTAGCACTGCGGCAAGAAACCGAGGGTATGTGCTTGTAGCCACGATGCTGTTTTTCTGAGTAGTAAACCGTTATGCACCAGACGGCCTTCCGTCGGACACCCTTCCGCAAGTATACTACCCTGCATTGTTTAGAATTTGCATTCCACCTGCCGTTGCCCTCAGTTGCTCATGATGTGCCATGCTGGCCCTGACGATGCAGCGGCCAACATTCTTGATGCCAAGGTTGGGGGACAGCAGATGTTGGTTGGCCACTGGGGATACAGAAGTACAGTTGCAGGTCTTTGTGTCTTCCTCTTGACGGTTTACAGGGTGCGCGGCTTGTCAATGATCCAACTGGTAAACATGGTCTCATGCTGACCAGCCATAGCTTGAATGAGTTCACAGGCATGGTCGTGATGTTCGGGGGGCCCTGCTGGAGCGTTTTGGCAGTTCATACGTTTCCGGTTTCGTGCGCTTACAGGGAATCTACGCAGAGAGGGCTGCTACTGCACTAGGTTCCTAAGGAGCTCCACTAGAGACGTTTCAACGTCTTACCTGCCCCATGCCCCGTGTCCCTTAGAGTGAAAGTCAGTAAGCCCACGCGTGGAGACAAGATGTGTTACCTAACTCGTGCGTCCCTCGGTGACAAGAGCCTATATAGACCCCTGAAGCATCTAAGAGTACTCGGTTTTGTAGGAACACGGGCAATGTGGTCTGCATGTGTCACTGTAGCTGCGCGCTCCCCGCCAGACCCAAGTCCCTTCGACTACTCGGGCAGACCTTGACATCAGACCTCTGCCCAGAACATGCGTTGCGCTTCCCTGAGCCATGCAAGCAACAACCCCGTGTGAGGCTTCGCCCGCTGCGATCTCCAAGGGCGACACCGTGCAGTTGCTGGCAGACATTAACGCAACTTGGACTAAGTTTAGGGAGTTTTCAAGCGGGGTTATCCTAAAGCTAGTAGAATGCGAGTTCATACTGAGCTCCGTTGTTAGACCTGTCCCTACATTACAGGCGTCCCCCTCTCTGCGAACGAATTAGGCAACCTCCCCTGTTCAATATCAACACTCTTGTTGGGTTCATGAGCTAAGTTTGGATTAGCCCCTCGTGGCTGAAGCAGCATACGGGTAGTTCACTGAGTAGATGCTGAAGTACTGCAAGAAGAGTTTTTTGAGTGATGCAATTGAGGTGACCAAGGCGCAGCTTGGACTGATTTTGGCATGCGTTCAAAGTTTCATGGTGCGTCCTGCCTTCACTGAAGACGGAAAGAAACCCGAGAATTCATCCTAAGAATCTTCGCAGAGCAGGAAGGTCGGGTGAACTGTATGGGGACCTCCTTAGAATGTGTATGACAGGACACTGATGGTCCTTGGGCACGAGCGGGTAAGTCAATGCATCAGCTATTATATCCGCTTAGTGATTCTACTGTGACCTAATCACTTGATAGAAGCGCAGAAAGCAAGCACCGTGGAGCAGAGGCTTGGTGTGGGCGAGTTCCGCATCGCTGTGCATGGCCCGGTGTCTGGTGACGTTTCGGACGGCTTCGTGCTGCCAAAGGCCGCCGTCTAGACTCACAGGTGGGAATTCGTGCTGTAGGGATTACATACTATAGCCCATGCTTGTTTGGCAACCCTGA